TTCCACTTCCTCTATCATATAAATCACTACGATTTCAACAGGAAACCTTAATCCACCACATGTAACATATCCAAGAACCAACAAGGCACGATATTATTCTCAAGCCACTTTGAGCAACGAGACTAATCGTAATAATAACAATCATATCCCACATCATTCCGCAATCATTCTACTTAATCAATCATAAAAATCAAAGATCTACAATTACTATGTTATTCAATCAATAAGGTCCCATTATTCACAAATTTTAATAAAGGATCCCTACATAATTCCCCACCTGAATTCCAAGTACTAAAATGATAAGTCTAATTTATACACAATGTCTACTGTAAACAATTCATATTCACTCGACTCTAAGGTTGGACTACCTTTATGGAAATGAGCAAGCGTAGGAATTCCAGACCACTTAACAGAAATTCAACCAAAATACCAAGCGACCTTTTGTAATCTCTTCAGACCTGACATCTGTACAATCAATGCCTACACCATGGGAATGGTGCATCAACATCAAGAATTCAGATAAGCTGCAAAGCTTGGGTGACTGACAATAATACAAGGATGTGATAATAATGATAAAGCCAACTATTAATCACAGTTTACATCTCTTGAATATAAATCATTCATAAGGAATCAATACCAAACCTTTGTAACTTTGAAGAAGTCACCCAGACATACAACGGTTTATCTGAAACAAATCACAACAGCTCACAATCATAATATCATACAACACAATGAAAAGTAGGGTTAGAGCGACACAGTTCGGCCGAAGTCTACATCTTTAAAGCTATCTCAATCCAAATTCAATCAACCCCAAGGTGAACACGATCTCGGACCATCTCTCAACGGAATCGCGAAGTATGAGGGATTCTAGACCCTCTTAACGGGATCCAAGTGGGTACGATTCTGGACCATCACTCAACAGAATCGCGGAGTACAATGCATAATGACCATTAAATGAAACCCAAGTTAGATACGATTTCGAAACATCACTTAACGGAATCGCAGAGTAGAAAGGATTCCAGACCATCTCTCAACTGAATCCGAGTATATACGATTCCGGATCATCACTCAACGGAATCGCGGAGTAAAAGGGATTCCGGACCATCACTCAATGGAATCTAGATCTGGATACGATTACAGACCATCACTCAACAAAATCGCGGAGTAGAATGTGTAACACCAATCAATTAAACAAGACATGGATCAAGTTCTACAAGGTACAAAGACTCAACGAAACGAGAATGAAATAATGACACAAGGGTTGAAACATGTTTCAAAGTAACAAACCCCATAACAATGGGTTAATGGTCCACTACTAGCCTTCGCATTTCATCACATCAATCCAATCATACAATACAAACCATATTTCCAATATGCACGTCAAATCACACCATAAAACTACATCAATGGCTAAATATAAAAATTAACAATTTTACAGGAAAAAAAATTATAAAACCATCTCATATCCATACAGGATAGTAGTTATGAAAATAAGATAATCACCAATATCACATATTAGTCATTCACATTTTTCCACATCACACCAACAATTGAATTTCGGGAAACCAAGCTAGACATAGGTTCACAGGGTCACTAGAAGGTATTTGGTACTTAGACAACACTCATGGACGGTCCCACGCACCGCCACACGCAATGGTAGCCATGGTGAAGGGTTTGAAAACTCAAATTTTCAACCTTAACCCAAGAGGCTCAAATTCACGTGGTACCTAGAGCTCAACAAAGGAGACATTATTCACGACTAGACCAACGACAAATTCTAACCGGAATCATCCAAATTCTTTGGGGAAATCGGGTTTCTAGGGTTCTAAACGCCCAACTCTAAAATGAATACGAAAGCATGAACCAAGCATACCAACTTGAAGATTATGAAGAGTAGATGAAGTTTCATACCTCACTTGAGGGAAATGGTTGCCAGAATCGCCGGAAAAATGACAAAACCGCCGGAAAACCCACGGGACTTTGCTGCCTTGAACTGGAAAAAGGGATAAGAAAATGGAACATCTAACATACAGAGTTGTAGGGCTCGTCAAGAGCTTTCCATGGACACCAAGATCACCTAAAACGGAGATCGGATGAAGGAGATATGAGCGGGTCAAGTTGGCGGGTTAACATGTTGAAATCTCCCAAAAAACGGGTCAAAAATCAAACCCCCTCCCCTTTTTTTCATTGGCTGCTGTCTAATCCCTTTTTTCCACCCCTCCTTAGTCGGTCCCTTAACCCAAATATATGTTTTTTGGGCCTTTTACTCACAAGTGGAAGTTAAATAATTCCTACAAACTATAGTATCACAACTTCAAATATCTGTAACTATACCGTTATAATTTGGATTCGCAAACGGTTTTTGCCTATGCACTCGTAGTTTCAAGATCTATTCGAATACGTTACTTATGACCTCGAAAGGTCAACGAATTTTAGTTAAGTACTTTCCAAACTTCAAACTTTGTAACTAATTTAATTAAAATATAAATCCAAATAAATTAATATAATTTCTCAAAAAATAATGCAAAATCTCAATAATACAAATACGTAGATTATAACAGTGAAATTTAGGAACGGGATTTCACACTGGTAGTGACATTACATGGGTTGCGGTATAGATATGTTTCGTTTGTTGTCTTTGTGGCATATTTGTACCGTCAATGCTTGTGCTGGTGTGTGTGCGGTTGTGGTTGCCAATTAGGAGATTATTATTAACTCTAGTTGTGAGTTACCTCCACATCAATTTATTTGGTCATTGAAGATTATACCCATGTGGCAACTCTTGTAATTGTTGCGGACTCTTTGAAATTGTGATCAAGTAATGAAATTTTACTATCATTTCTTTTAAAAAAAAAAAAATCACTTTTAGGGATTCATAATGTATCAAAATAATCATTTCATCTTACCAACATATTGGCACGTCTCAAAATAACTATTTTAAATCGTACTCAAGTTTTTTTATTTTATTTATTTATTTATATTTTACTCATGTTGAAAATATATATCATACCAGTAGTTTGTAACGTACCAAAATTAACGTTATGTAGCATACCCAAATTGAAAGTATATAGTGTACCAATAATTTGTTATGTACCAAAATTAGCATTCTATAGCATACCATGGAATTATGTAACATACCAAATTAGTAATCTATAACGTACCCTAAAATTGTATAATGTACTAGTGATTTGTCATAATAGTTTGTTACGTAGCAAAATTAGCATTCTATTACGTACCAACAGTTTTCTCAAGCATTGCACAATTTGTATACAGGCATTGACCTTTGCCTATTACTGAATTTGATTGGTAATTGAATTGTGGCATGATGGCTAGTACTAGAAAATGCTAGGAAAACCATTTTTCTAAACCATATTTTGTAATTTGGTGTGGCAATTGATGATTGGATTGTTTGATTTGTTTCATCACAATAATATCTTTTAAATGATCATAAGTTCATAACGGTAGAAGAATATTTTTGTATGAATCGTGTTCCAGCCTCCAGGGTTAAGGGAGCATCAATAGCTTGCTGGCCAAGAACCATTCAAAGGTTAAGTGAGTATAACCTTGTCAGTATTTAGGTTGCTACCCAATGTGCCTTGAGAATCCTTATTCAAGTTGGAGGTTGTAAACGTAGATTGGCCGTAACTTGAGTTGTAAGAGAGAACAGAATAGTAGAAATATCTTTAGCCACATTGGCTAGATGAAAGACCAAACTAGCCTCAATCGAGAACGAAAAATTTGCTTTTTCAATCACCAGACGAGAGAGATATACAACTAGTGCCGATATAACGAGGCTAGACATTAGTGCCTTATAAGTGATAATAGAAGAATCTCTCTTGCATGTGTGTATACATATGCAAAAGAGAAATTGATCATATAGGAAAAAAGGATTGAACCAAAATAATTTGTTAACAATAAAATTGTTTAAAGTTTTCAGGAAGATGTTAGGGTGTAATTTTCTTGAACCGAAAACCAACCGAACCGCCGACTTATTTACCGACACATTTCGGTAAATAACTGATGGTTCAGATTCATTCGTTCTATTATTTAAGTGTTCCGATTCATTCGTTCTATTATTTTTGTAAAAGTAAACATGCCCTCAGAGGAACGATTCTACAATTAAACAAATCAAACAAATTCAATTTCATGGCTTGGTGTGGCAGTGGCACACCAGTGACCAGTCCACCAACAATGGTCGGGCAGATTTAGTATGTGGTGCCAAATAGAAATAGATGCAGAACGAAGCCGTTGCTCCAAAAGGTATCACAACACAACTACTTACTCAAGTGGTGATGAATCCACCAAAAGTTTATAGAGAAAAAAAGGGCATAAATAAAGCGAAGGCCAAAATTAGGAGGGCACAAAAGGGGAAGCTATGTTTGAATGGCGGTAGCATATTGGATGGTGGTGGGAAGGAGCAGAAGGAGATCGATGGTTGATAATATTGGGTGGTGAATTGGTGATTGGGATGGAGGAGTGGGTGACAGACCCACGTGATTGACCCACCACCACCACTATCACCACCACTGCACTCCCTCCTTCCCTCCCTCTCTCTCTCTCTCTCACTCTCTCTCTCTCTCTCTCTCAGGATTACTGAAGGCCAAGTGGATGTCTTGGTTGGCTTCACATCAACGCTAACAGCCAAAACAATCCAACCACAACAAGAAAACCAACATGCCCACAATCACATAACTCCACCCCCAAAAGTGAAAAGGAAAAGTTTCCAGGTTCCATCATTAACTAATTTGACTAAAGTGATCCGTTTTACTTGGTTGCCCACTTACGTTCAGCCTTTCCCTTTCTTTCCCTACCCTTTCTCCTCATCTCCCCATAATGTCAGTCAGCAGTGGCTTTTTTTTCTCTGTTTATACATGTAAGATTCGAACGCAAGATCTTAGATACAATTAACGATCTTAACTACATAAAGTTATTTTTGTGTATGTGTCAGACGGTGATTAACAGCTAAAGAGAAATGACTCTTTATAAGAAGCCACTTGTGTTCGAAAACTTTATGTGCATGAATAAACGCTATTATTTACTTGTGCTATACGTTCTGACCCCTTTCTCTCTCTTACTTTTTATTGGCCATTTCTTTTCCTCTCTAAAATGCTAGTGGTTCTCCTCTCCTTTTACCTTTCCTTGAGCTCAAACTTGTTTGATGGGAGGAAGATGTTAGCAGCTTACACAAAAGGGTAAAGTTTGTACAAGCATTTGGAGAGAGAGAGAGAGAGAGAGAGGGAGAGAGAGAAAGAGAGAGGGGGAGAGAGAGAGAGAGATGGACAACGAAACAAACCAAGAAAACACATCTCTACTCCCAAACAATTACACCACCACAAACACCAAGGAATTAGAGTCTCCTCCGAGATCAAAACCTCCTCAACAGCCTCCTCTCGGCGGCAGCGGCAGTGACAGGCTCAAAAGAGATGAGTGGAGTGAAGGGGCAGTTTCTACCCTCCTTGAAGCCTATGAGACCAAATGGGCTCTCAGAAACAGAGCCAAACTCAAAGGCCATGACTGGGAAGATGTGGCGATACACGTGTCATCACGCGCCAACTGTACCAAGTCTCCCAAGACCCAGACTCAGTGCAAGAACAAGATTGAGTCCATGAAGAAACGGTACCGTTCTGAATCCGCCACTGCTGATGGTTCATCCTGGCCTCTGTATCCTAGGCTTGATCTTTTGTTACGTGGCAGTGGGCTATCCCCAACAACAGCAGCGGCAGCTGCTGCCGCTGCTGCAGCAACTGTACCTCCCTCGCTGCAGCCACCACTACCACTGCATCCTCCAATCCCTCAGAACAATCATCCTCTGATGCTATTGGAGCCATCGGCTCCAGCGCCACTACCGCCGCCACCACTACCTCCTGCTCCTCCTCCACTTATGGGGGCTGCCCAGAATTCCTTTGGATCCAATGGTGTTGATCATAGGGTGGCCAAGGTCAGTCTACATGGCACCCCCTCCCCTGTTTTTTTTTTTAATAATTTTTTTCTTGTTTTTAGCCATTTCCCTTGAATTTTATTTTGGTAATTTGATTTTTCACTTATTTCTCATATTAGAAAAATAAATAGGCCTTATTTCTTGAGATTATTGTTTTTTAGCATTCAAATTTTGTTGAAGAGGATTGTGTTTTCAATTTTTAGTACTCGTATATTAAGATATTAGAAGCAAATATGTCCCACAATAATGCCACAGGCCCATTGCAATCATATAATTGCATATTTTCTAAAGGGTGGTGGAAATCGAACTTTGTTTGGGGCAGCATACTGTTCTGACCAACTGATGTAACCAATATTTGCATTCAAATTATGTAAAAGATAGATTGTAAAATGTAAGTCTCACTGAATTAATTTAACCTGCAGGAAGATGGAGGGGGGATGAAATTGTCAGATCATGCATCAGACAAGAACCCTTTGGAGGTAGACAGTAGCACACCAGCTCTATATAGTGACAAGGAAAAACTAAGGTCCAAGAGAATGAAGAGAAAAATCGAGAAAAAGAAGCGGCGGAGGCGGGAGGAAGTAGAGGTAGCAGAGAGCATAAGATGGTTAGCAGAAGTTGTGGTAAGATCAGAGCAAGCAAGAATGGATACAATGAGGGAGATAGAGAGGATGAGAGCCGAGGCAGAGGCGAAGCGAGGAGAAATGGATCTCAAGCGCACCGAAATTATTGCGAACACGCAGTTGGAGATTGCAAGGCTGTTTGCAGCAGCAGGTGTTGGCAAAGGGGTTGATTCTTCATTAAGAATTGGAAGAAGTTAACTGAGGAAAAATGTTGAAACTTTGAGAGTATGATATAAATATATGTATGTATGTACAGAATTTATGTAGCATTGGATATTGAGAGAGAAGAAGGGAGAACTTTTGGAAGCAAAAGTGAGGGAGAGTCGACTAATTAACTTGTAATATAATCCGAATTAAGTAGTTATTGTCGTACAATAACATATCTTACCTCAATTGTAATCTACATGTTCTCTCTTTCAGCCAGCAATATCAGTGCTTAGACCTAGAAGGTTACATTGCATCGGTTGCTTGCTGTTTGCCGAACATATGCTCGTTATCTAACATTGTTGTTTCTGTTGCATGTGATTTAGTATCTTAGTGGATAGGTTGTTTAGTTTCCAACCATGCATCCAGAATTCAAAACTCTCATCTCTCGTAAGTATTGTTGTTTCCATAAGTCGTCGTGATCTCTAGCATGAGTGTTCAAGATGGGGGATCTCACAGGTTTGAGGAGAAGCTAACAAGCAAAGGGTTCGGAATGTTGTGATCTATTTTTTACAATTGCGGGACATATTTGATAAGTTGAGTGAATTATTTATAATAAAGCGAATGCCTTCAATAGATTGGGAAGTGGAAAATCCGCCGAAAAAGTTCACTGACCACGATCAACTTCATAAGTAGACAGATAGTATGCTAAATGTGATATAAACATCAAAAGATAGTAAAACGTAACAAGAAAGATATTCCTCATGATACATCAACGAAATGAATCAATGATATGTCGTTGTTTTTGAAGTGATGTAGGCTGGGATTATAAATATGAAAGTTGGTAGTGTTACTCTGATATAATTGGAACAACTCCATCCCGATAATTAATTGTCAACCCAAGAACACTAACTAAACAAAGAAAAAAAATTGGAAAGTTGGTATAACAACCTAGCTATAGGAATCCTAATATAGTGATAGTCTCTTCTCGAAGTTAAAAGAGTCTTCAATTGAATTCCTCTTTTTTGGTTATAAATAGACAGACAATAATTCATATCTATTTATCGGAAGTGATTTTCACACACTATTTTTAGCTTCTAACACACCTTTATTTAATCTTGACCATTGATTTCGCGTTATTTGTTCAATTCAATGGCTTTTAATAAAGAGTGATGTGTGAGAAACTAAAAATGGTGTGTGAAAATCATTTCCTAACTTACTTGGAATGAAAACGAGAGTGATTCCAAATCCTTTTATATTATTTTGATTCATGACTTTTTAGTCGTTTGTTATCACGCATGAAATTAAAACAGTTGTGACCCATAGCAAACAAAACTACAAGGTTTAGTCGTCATCCTCGGTCTATGATTGGAGTCGGTGGCAACCTCTCGTCCACCCTTTGAGCTTGTCTCAGGTCTAGGTTTTATGCCTATTCCCTCCCCAAATGTTATGACAGTAGTGGCATGTGCTCTTTGTATTTGCTTTTATGTTTTGGATGCACTTTTATTGATTCTTGTGGACTGTTTTTCTCTTCGGACTTATTCTTCTTTCTATTAGCATTTTATATTAATGAAACTTATTATGATTGACAAAAAAATATTAAATCGGTAATTCAGCTTGAAAAATCAGGATTCAAATTAATGGAAAGTAAACATTTTATAGAAGTAATTACAGTCTTATTCTCCTAGATCCCATAGTCCAAGTAAATAGTGGTAGCTCACTGTTTGATCTTAATCCAACAGTTGGTGGTCATTTAGTTTTTGTCTGTACTATTTTATCTACCGTAAAATTAAATCGAATAATAGGTGACCATCAATTTCCTGGATCAGGGGGTCTTAGGCCTAGTTTAGTATTCTTAAAGCACAACATAAACAATTTATTAAAAAAGCACAGCAACCCTAATCTGGCCCTTAGAGAATGAGAGTTGAACTAAACGTAATGGTAGGATTTTTACCCTCCACTCCAAACTTCAATCACATAACTTTCCAATCTCAAGTAAACATCACATAGGAGTTGAATTTGCAAATTGTTTATGACTGTATAAATGGGCTTTTGTATGGGCTCTGTTAACGAAAATGACTTCATACCACTTCAACCCAAATGGGCCCAGTAACCATATCTAAACGTGTTTGTCTGCTGGGATTTATTGCTTTCGTTTCGGATTTAGGATTACAGTCAAGTCAAATAGTGTAGAACGGATTACTCTTCGAGCTCTGTAGAAAAAAATGGCTCTCTTCCAAACACAAACACCTCCTCCTATCTACAGCCATGGCTTTAGCTTCAAAACCCACAGCTACTCTCCCTTGGCCTTACCATTTCATCTCCCACCGCCTTCCCTCCCTCTTTCTGTCTCCTCCATGAAAACCCACGACCAAAGCTCACTCTTTTCTCCCTCAACAGTGAAAAGAAAGTTGCTTTGCAGCCCCCCTCATGGTAAACATGTCAGAGAAGATTATCTTGTGGTAAGTTATTCCTGCAAATGCTTGTTTACCTTAGCATTTTAATTACCCATTACAAGTTGGTTATTTTTTTCTTCAATTCATGAGTTTTTCCTACTTAAAAGTGGTATTGGTTTGATGGGTTGGTTTGTATTTCCAAATCATTTGTCTGTTTGGTGAGAAAAATGCAGTTAAATGATGAATTAGGAGAATTGAATTTATTTGCAGGGCTTTACTTCTGTTTGGGAAATGGGAAAGTATGGAAATTTTCTATTTCATTGGATTTGTTTGAAAACCAACTTGGGATTCGCAGTTTTATTTATTTTCCATCTTTTATACGTCCTGAATTTTAAATTTGAGCTTATTTAATTCTTGTTTGGGAGGGCAGAAGAAGGCGTCGGCCGAGGAGGTCCAGGAACTGGTAAAAGGAGACAGAAATGTACCCATTATTGTTGATTTCTTTGCAACATGGTGTGGACCCTGTATATTGATGGCTCAAGAACTTGAAATGGTATGCTGTGCTGCTTTGTATTCAGATTTCAGTTATTGTTTTTTTTTTTAGATTTAATGGTTTACATGCTTAATTTCCAAAAAATTGTACTTTGATATCGATATCATACTGTTTGTTGGAGGATTTCTATCATGCTAAACTGAAATATGAAGCTTTCGAGCACTTCCTTCCTAATCTTGTGTGTCTGTTGTGGTGATTGGAACCATTTTGCGCAGAATATGATTGCATACTGTGCAACATGTATGTATCTTTATCTAACACGCACAAAATTTGGTAAGAAGAGGAGGAAGAACTGAACAGTTAGATCCAGCATTAAATCACTCCCTCGTATGTTTTAGTTTTGATTGTAGAAAGAGATTTAGCAACCTTTTTCTTACTTCTCGTAGACTAGGATTCTCCTCGTGAAATGAACCGGAGGATTATTCGCCATTTTCTGTGATTATTCAGTATGGTTATAGGGATTGGTTATATCGCTGTTTTCTATGATTCTCACATTTAGTTTCTTTCGGAATACAAACATGGTAAAGTTTCAATGCCATTTGACTATCGTGGACCTAATTGCTGTCTGTTGTTTTGATTAACGGACCACTGGAAACCAAAATGCTTTCACAACTGAAGTGACTCTTCTATTTTGTAGACGGTTTGGTTTGCGGTTTGAATATTTTTGGTTGATGTAGAGTACTCCACTTTGGATCTAAATTTGTAAATTGTCTCTAATTTCTTATATTCACTTAAGTTGCAGTTTTATAGAGGGTTGTAAAATTTTCATACAGCAAGTCTATATAATATAAGCACCTGACAAGTGATGATTTCCGAGATTTGCAAACACAGAAGTAACGTTGAAAACTTTTAATTTCCATAACAGCTCGCTGTAGAGTATGAGAGCAATGTACGAATTATAAAGGTTGATACGGATGATGAGTACGAATTCGCACGCGACATGCAGGTAATTGTTTTTCTTCCGTGCTTTGAAGGCCTCCTTGTTGCACTGAAATTTCTTTAGGTAATTTTTGGCATCTAATAATCTTTATGAGCCTTACAAATTTATGCATCTGTAGCTAGATTTGTTCGTAGAAAGATACTTCTACATCATACCAGATTTTATGTTAGACTGTCAGTCTCAGTGATAAGTATTGTGGATAAACTGGGTGGAATTTTCTTATTATCTATGCTTGAATGAGATCTATGTTTGAAAGCAATGAATGAATTTAGTGGCAAGTAACTGACAAAAGAATGCTTCGTTTTGAATCAGGTACGAGGATTGCCAACATTGTTATTTATCAGTCCAGATTCAAGTAAAGATGCCATCCGGACTGAAGGGCTCATCCCGTTACAGATGATGAGGGATATCATTGATAACGAAATGTGAAGGAGTACGTGATTTGTTGCTACATAATATGTGGAGGCATGCTCTTGTTTTGTGATGGTACAAGCATTACCATCACTGTTTGAGTTTTGTTATGTCATAATAAATTTACTGACTGATATATCGCCTTGGAGTGAACAATTTTGTAGCCATAAGATAGCGAGTAGATGTGGTCGTTGTAGGCATGTTTAAATGTAAGGATGCGCGTCCGTCACACATCCTCGCACAGTTAGAGGTGCAGGGATGTTTTGTGATGGTACGAGAATTACCATTCTTACTATTGTTTAGTGATCGTACCTAAACCCTAAACCCTATAAGATAATGAGATTTTACCTCTTTTTATTAAGCTGCAAGTTCATGGTAGTCATCAAACCAGCAGTCTGTAAGTGATATTAAAGTCAAATGGATTTGGTTTGATTAATTAGTGCCTTGCTGGATATAGCAAATTTGTTAGAAATGAATAGATTTTGTGGAGGCAGAAGGCAAAGGTTAGGCTTTTTAGTCAAAATAGTCTCTGAAATTTACATAACTCATCACTTTGGTTCTTGAAATTTAAAATCAATAAAAGTGGTTCTTAAGTTTGTCCACCATCAATCATTTTGGTCATTCTTTGAGAAATTATATTAAATAAGGATCAAATGAAAAAAATACCTTCAATTTAATAAACAATGGGCCAAAATGATTAGAAAAAAATTGAGGGTATTTTTTGTCATTTTATCCTTATTTAATGGAGATTTTTCAAGAAATGATCAAAATGATTGATGGTGGACAAACTTAGATACCACTTCTACTAATTTCAAATCTCATGGACCAAAGTGATGAGTTATGCAAATCTCAGAGACCATTTTGGCTAAAAAGCCCAAAGATCATGTGGGTCAAGGAAGAAAGTGGGAGATGGCCCTAACTGTACAAGAGATTTTTTTTCATTGTGTCGAAAACACAGTCTAGTATATCAAGCGTCATAATACAAGTGACTAGATACTTGGAAAAAAAAATTTCAACCACT